TGTGTGTGTGTGTGTGTGTGTGTGTGTGTGTGTGTGTGTGTGTGTGTGTGTGTGTGTAGGTGCTCATGCATGGGTCCACATGAAAAGGCCAAAGAAGAATATGTTTTTCCCCTCCCTCCCTTGCTCTGTTCCGTCTTCCTTCTTTCCTTCCTCCTTCCTTCCTCCCTTCTTTCTTCTTCCCATCCTTTATTTCTCTTCATGTGGAAACTCAAAATCTAGAGATAGTCTGAATGTTGAAAAAGTGTTGTGTGTCTGTGTTAGTTCCTAAGTTTTATATAGTACTGTTAACTAAATCAATGTTTTGTTCTTAGGTAACGTGTTGCTGTATTTAGGGGAGAGGGTGTTGTTCTTAGGTAACGTGTTGCTGTATTTAGGGGACAAGGGTGTCGCTCTCAAACGCTTCCTGTGTGTATGCACACCACATGCGCACAAGCAGCGAAGGATGGTGTCTGTTGTAGACTAAGACTGTCTGTCTACCACGTGACTTCAGGGACAGCCTGACCATGTCTTCAATGTGTGCTTTGTTTTGTTTTCAGAGTTCCCGCATCGAAGGCCTCCCATCAAAGGGCCCCACACCTCCCTGGTTGGTAAGCAAAAGTTATTTCCTCTCAGGCCCATAGTCTCTGGCTCTACTAAGAACCATTCCAGAATTAGTGTGTTTTCTTCCTATTCTAAAAACATGATGAAGTCGGGTGGTGGTGGCGCATGCCTTGCATCCCAGCACTTGGGAGGCAGAGGCAGGCAGATCTCTGTGAGTTCCGCCTGGTCTACAGAATGAATTCCGGGACTGGCTCCATTGCTTCGGTGAAACTCTGTCTTGAAAAACAAACAAACAAACAAAAAAAATTTCATGATGAGCCGGGTGGTAGTGTCGCATACTTGAGAGGCAGAGGCAGGTGTATTTCTGAGTTCGAGGCCAGCTTGGTTCACAGGAACAAATCCAGCACAGCTGGGGCTACACAGAAAACCTATCTCAAAATAACAAACAAAAGAACCAAAACAGTACAACCAAATGGTTGTATTGCAGTGTAAGAAATAATGCTAATCACGCTCTACTTCATTCCTCCGCCCACAGCTGGATATAAGGTACCTCTCACCACTGCTGCTGGCTTATGAAGACAGAATGAAAGAGAAGGACAAACTCATCACCACCCTGGAGGTAGGTCGGCGGGTGTCTCCGAGACAAACCATTCAGACTGCAGAAACAGCTCGAAGGTAAACTTGCCTAGTGTGGTGTGTACTCCAGTGTCTGTTGAAGGAAGGAGCGTGGTAGGGGGCTGGAGGGAAAGCGGTAGAGAAGGAAGAAGGCGTGTTTGGCAGAGCATGACGGGTGGGTGGCGCTAGGGGAGACGGCTGGATGCAGTGGCTTTGGGAAGCTGTGGTCTGAGGACAGGCAGTCCCCTGCGAGTGGAGATCTGGGCAGGCAGAGGAGGAGCAGGGTAGTACATCACTCATTACTCTGAGGCAAGGGACGTCGGTGCTAGAGCAGATGCTGGGCAAACGGAGACCATACTCAGGTGTTTTAGGAAATCCTAATGCTCCTGGGTCACAGGACACACCAACCCCAGAGCACATCGCAATCCAGTTGCTGGCAGTATTAAAAACAAGAATTTGTCCATTTCTGTTTGCTCACTATTTCCTGAGAATAGCAGCCATTTCAACTGTAAGGAGACCAGGCCTGGGTGTCATCAACCCCCCCTGGGCCCTTCTGTGCCTCACACTTCTGAGGTCTTCACTATGAGGCCAAGTATTGGAAGGATCCGGGCAGAGAAGAGTTGGTCTCTAAGGAGTCCCGAATGGGACAGGTCCCTTAAGAGCCCAACAGCCTGGCCTTCAGTCGTGCCTCCCATTACCTGCCCCATCCCGTGGATACCCATGACATACTATTGAACGTTGAATTTTTAAGAGCATTAATTATCTTTGTTCACTAACCAAAAACCAATCATAAAATTTCCATTTAGGTGCTCTTTTTAAATAAGGGGTCATCTCATATTTTCTATAAAGACCCAATTAATAAATATTGACGGCTTTGTGGGCCATGCGGTTTCTGTTCACATATGCTCAGTCTGCTTTTGTACATGACAGCAGCCGTGGATGGCATGCCAATGGCGGGTGGGACCCTATTCTATAAAACTCAGTAAAAACTAACAACTGACCCGAGGGCTTCAGTTTGACAAGACACTTACAACATAGCCACAAAGAGCCATGCGGACTGCCAGCGCAGATGAGTGTGTTTGCACCAATGCTGCCTTTGTAGCCCCTGCCTATACAGAGCCCTGGGTTTGTTCAGTACCATAGGGCCAGCCGGCAAGAGACTATTTCGTGACACCCAAGGTCCCCATCAAAAGTCTGCATAAGACACCGCAGATCAGCTGGGACACCACAGTGAGGCCCAGGTCAGGAACCCAAATCTGCCCATGCTGCCTATGTCAGGGTGTCGGGCTGAGCAAGCTGCTCTGAGTGGGGGGCTGTCTGTGCTCTGCACAGGACAAGGTTAGGAGACCTCTGCACTAACACCCTTACCTGCTTGCACAGGCTTTGATCTAGGACCGAAAGTTCCTTTTATAGAAAAACTCCAATTTACCTACAGAGTGAGTTCCAGGACAGCCAGAACTACATAGAGAAACCCTGTCCTGAAAAACCAAAACCCAAACCAACAAATACTCCAATTTACCCTCTAAAATCTAAACAAAGAAAACCTTTCAGTCTCTGGTTGTTTTGGGTTTTTTGTTTTGTTTTTCTTCTGACCCCTTCCTTTAAAGTCTCCAGTTATTTGTCAATTACAGCCAAGTGGCATCAGGTTAGTGGTCAACCCCTTAAAACCCAAGTTCTGCCCTGTGTGTCGGTGCCTGGCTGTTCTCCCAGTAAGCTGTGCTCCTGAGCCCACGGAGGGGCTCTGGAACCTGGAGGCTAAACCTGGTGCTAGAGCGGGACTCTGCCGGTGCAATGGCTGTCACATTTGATTTCCCCAAGCAGCAGCATCCCAGCTGATACTGAATGTGTGCACGTGGGTGACAGTTTCCATGCGTTTCATTTCAGGAGGAAATGAAAACCTTTAGGATGCGAGCCCAAGAAGTGGTGGAGGAAAATGAAGGATTGCATCAGCAGTTAAATAAGAGCAGCCCTGTGACCAGCGAGGAATGGCAAGTGGTATTTGCTAACTTACAACACAGTAGGAACAGGCTTTGTGATGTCACTGAATGCATAAATGCACTTTGTTTTTTAAAAATTAAGCACTTTACCCAAAGCCCATACAACTCAGCGAGCCTCTGTGCAGTTAGAATAGACATTCAGGACAGAAGCCTGTGGCTACACAGTTATAGTTTCACCCTTTCCGGGTACAGTGTATGTTATGCAGGTGTCCCAGGACGCTTCCCCTGCGTTGGGTTTCTACACACACTCCAACTGCTCCCCAATTCCTCCACCCCGCATCCTTCCTGCTCCCATCTCAACCCTCCCTCAGTCTACCCTCAAAATTTACCCGATCTCCCCTTCCCAGAGAGCTCCGTGTGCCCCTCCAGAGCCTGCTCTTCACCCCCCTCTCTGGGTCTGTGGATTGTGATTTTCATTTACTTAACAGCTAATACCCACTTGTAAGTGAATACATACATATTTGTCTTCCTGGGTTTAGATTACCTCCCTCAGGAGGATTTTAAAAATTAGAACAAAGGGTCCTTTTAAAAAGAGAGACACCTGCTGGCATCTAAGTGTTTGGGAGCATGAGGCAGGGGGATCATGAGTTTCAGGACAGCCTGGACTTATAGTGGCACCTTGTCTCAGAAGGAAACAGGAAGCAGCAAAGGGTGAAGGAAGCTGGGAAAAGACGAAAAACAAAGAATGATGGGAGGGAAAGTTCAGGAACAGAGAGACCTGTCTGAGTGGAGCGGTGAGGTGGGAGTGAGGAGGCTGACTCAGCCTTGTGGGCAGCCCCCCTCGGGGGTGGCAGCGTGCTCAGCAGCCCCTCGGGGGTGGGCAGCACGCTCAGTCACTGTTGGCCTAGCCTGGTTTCACCTTCCTTTCTTAAGGTCCTAAGGTCCTTCAGCTCATCCTAGCTGGAATTTTCAGTTATGAAAGTTGAACTGCTATGGGATTTACAATGCACTGCATAAATGTGGGCTTTCTTGTGGGGAGATCAAGGCTGGGTGTGTTTGTATGATTTTAAGATACTTCCAAAACCATCTAATAAGTTGGGATTTTTTTTTTGATTTATTCTTAATATTACTGACTTTTTTCTTGTTCTTTAACTCACTCCCTTTCTGTCTGTCTCTCATTAGAAAAGAGCAGGGTTCTAAGTGATAACAACCAAACTTTTTTTTTAAAGCAGTTTCATGGCAGTTCAATCAGGCCTCCACAGAGCTCTTCCTGTCTCAGCTTCCCAAGTGCTGAGGTTCCAGGCTTGTAACACACACCTGGGTTTCTTTGTTTATTTGTTTTTTAAAGAGTAGATTTTTAAAATCTTGTCTATGTACTATGTGTATACCTGGTGTCCTTGGAGGCCACAAGAGGGCATCCGATGCTCTGGAACTGGAGTTACCACGTGGGTGAGCTGCCACGGGGGTGCTGGTTTTCAAGCCCAGGTCTTCTGGAAGAGCAGCCAGTGCTCTCTCTCAACCTCTGAGCCTTCTCGCTAGCATTTTATTTTTACTGCTTGGGAAATTAAAGTCTCGCCTGTTGTCTAGGCCTGCCCTCAAGTCCCGAACTCAAACAGTCCCCCTGCTTCAGCCTCAGGAATGCTTGGGACTTTGGTAGTGTGGCTGCCATGAGCAGTCGCTACTGATTATGAGTGGATGGTTTCAGAGTAAAATGGGACCTTCCAGCATCCAACAGTGGCAATTATATGGGTGCAGGATTAGATGCTCCAGTGTAGGAGACCCAACTGCCCGTTTGTGACTGTCTCACCTGAGTGCCATGCATGCGCAGTCCTCTGCCTTTGCACGGATGGGACTTGTCACCTACCTCTTGCTGTTGCTGCCACATCCATCACTCACGCATGACTGCTGCCCTTTTCCCCATTCACCGCACATGGCAGCATTTGCTGGGAAAATGGCGTGGTCAACGTGAAAACATGCACGGTGGCACATTCCCGCGGTCTCTCAGCACCTGAGCACAGTGTTGACTCTCTTGAATCAATCCTAGGAGGCAGCTCCAGGCTCAAGCAGAGCTGGTTCTAGATGAAAACAAGCTGTTGATAGAGCAGTTGGAGATTCAGCAAACAAAAGCCAAGGATGCCCACCAGGAGCACCTCCAAGAAGGTGAGTGACTGGGATGTCCTAGAAGACAGGCGAGGGCGGGGAATCATACTTTCCAGAATTGTAAGTCGTCATGCTCCGCGCATTCTCACAGTTAGGTCTGCAGTCAGCCCGTGTGTCCTCTGATCCCCTGTAAGGTCAGCTGAAACGGCTGTGGGAAGGATAGCGTCTGGGAATTGGAAAAGTTACAGAATGAAGCACTTGAAACAACCCAAAACCATTTTCTCAGATATTTATTGAGTGGACAAAAAGTAGAACTTTGCTGTGCCTTCTTCCACTTCTCTCCCCACACCCTATATGCCAAGAAACACGTTCACGTTGAGTTACAGCCCATCTTAGTCAGTGCTGTATTGCTGTGAGATACATCATGATCAGGGCAACTCTTATAAAAGACAGCATCTCACTGGAGGCTTGCCTACAGTTTCACCATGGTGGGGAGCTTGGTGGCACACACATGGTGCTGGAGAAGTAACTGAGGGCTTTCATGGGCACAGAGAGAGCATGAGACTGGGCCTGGAATGGAATTTAGAAACCTCAAAGTCCACCCCCAATGACACACCTCCTCCAACAAGGCCACACCTCCTAATCCTTCTAATCCTTTCAAATAGTGGCACCTCCTGGTGACTAAGCCTTCAAATCTGTGAGCCAATGGGAGCCGTTTGTATTCAAATCACCACACATCCCTAACCCTAGGGTTTTGAGACAGGGTCTGCTGTGTAGTCCAGGTTGGCCCAGAACTTGCCAGAGTCCAGGGTACCTTTGAAATCACAGCCCTACCACCTCTATCCCAGTACCAGGGAACAGGTGTGTGCCACGCCACTTGTGGGTGAACTGTTGATCCTTCCTTCTGTCAGGGCTGAGGGCATCATAAGTTAAATGTCTGGTTCTCCAGGACTTCCCAGGAGTACCCCTTCTCCCATGTGTCCTCCCTGTTCCTAGAGCCACCATAGCTGAAGACAGTGCTCTTCAAAGGGAGTCAAGTTGAGAGTTGTTTCCCTTGCTTTGACTAAATCCAAATAGGAGCCCCCAAATAGTGGCACCTTCTCATATGCTCCTTGAAGAGAGAGGTCACAGACCTGGAGTCTGAAACAGCGTGCCTTGCCTGATTGCTGTGAGCATCACTTTTTCCTTTGTTCCTGCTCACGTAACAACTCCCTCTGAGGGCTGGAGAGATGGCTCAGTGGTTAAGAACACTGGCTGCTCTTCCAGAGGACCTGGGTCCAATTCCTAGCACCCTCACACAGATATACATGCAGGTAAAACACCAATGCACGTAAAGTAAAGATAAATCTTAAATAAAAGCAAAACAATGACAACAAAAACCCAGCAACTCCCTCTGCACAACTAAGAGTTCACTGCTAGCCTCTGTTGCAGCCAAAGCTTGCCAAGCTTCAGGTCCAGGCTGGCCTCAGGGTCACTCCACAGCCAAGCATGACCTTGAGCTTCTGATCCTCCTGCCTTTGCCTCCTGATTGCTGAGATAGCAGGCAAGTTCCACCAAGTCTGCTTTATTTTCTCTTGTATGCAGTACTGGGAATTGAACCCAGGACTTCATGCATGCGAAACAAGCGCTTTACCAGCTGAGCCCATCCCCAGCCTTAAAAAGTCATTTTTGTAAGATAACTGATTTTTAGGAATTAGCCTAAGACCTGATGCAAGCTATGCAAACGCATGTCATTGAGCCACATCCCTGCTTTCCTTTGGTGCTGTTTTTGTTTGTTTTCTGAGACAGGGTTTTTCTATATAGCCCTGGCCATTCTGGAACTCTCTTTGTAGATCCGGCTGGCCTTGAACTCACAGAGATCTTCCTGCCTCTGCCTCTTGAGTGCTGGGATTAGAGGCATGTGCTATCTACCTGCCCATCTACCTCCCTACTTTTTTAAAGATAAATTTTTGAAATAGGATCTCACTATGTGGCCTAGCCTAGCCAGAGCTTAGGACCCTCCTGCCTCAGGGCCCGGTGCACCACCACGCCTGGCTAACATGCATGCCTTAGTCAGTCTTCTCTGCCACAGCTTGATCTTGTCCCTTCCAGTTTCTAAGCTGACAAAACAACTCATGCTCCTGGAGGCAAAGACCCAGGAGCAGGAACAGCAGCTGGCGGAGAGCCAGGGGCAGCTGGGGAACTTACAGGCTAGATGCCAAGAACTCAAAGTACAGCTGGACAGCAAGATTGCCATGGACGTTCATACATCAATTGTCAATGAGCTGAAAAGGTGAGCGCATCGCCTCAACGCAAGAGGTTGCCTGAGTCCTCCGTGTGAAGTGTTGAGTAGACAGAGGTTGCTAAGGGTTTTTTTTTTGTTTTTTGTTTTGTTTTGTTTTGTTTTGCTTTTTGTTTTTTGGGTGTCCACTAGGGCCTGGAATCTGGCTTCCAGCCATCTGCTTTCTTTTAACCTCACTTGATTTTATATGACCCTGTACATGGAGTGTGCCCTACCCACAATGCACTGTCCAGAGGGTTCACTGTATACCTGTGCACTGAGTATGTGTCCCTCTACATATGTGTCTGCCGTTTCTTGTCCTTCAGCCGGTTGGAAAAGGAAGAAGAGAAAGATAGCGCTGAGATGGAGGAGCTGCTGGGGAAGCTGACCGCCCTACAAATGCAGAAGAAGAGCCTGCTCCTGGAGAAGAACAGCTGGACTAGCAGAAACAAAGCGCTAGAGGCTGAGCTGGAGCGCACGCGCAAGGCAAACAGGTACCCTGGGGGGGGGGGCGCATGTGCAGAAGCATTTCATTTGTGTGTGTGTGTGCACGTGCAAAAGTATTTCATTTGTGTGTGCGTATGTGCAAAAGCATTTCATTTCCTTTTTATCTTCATTTTATTCCTTTTATCTTTTCTTTCTCTGATAAGGACAATAAAATGGAAAATAAAAACCAATAATATCTGACGGATATCAGAGTATAAGTTAACAAAAGCCTTTCTGTGATTCTATAGTTCTCAAGAATATGCTTCAAATATTGATAATCACAAGGCAACCCTGGGCTCTAGATGGTCTCCTAACCACCTCCCCAAAGCCTGTTTTTTCATTACTACATCCCAGTTTTCTTTCTTTTTTCTTTGTAAAGTATTTCTTTATAAATACTTATACATTTATTTATTGTTTTTGAAATATCTTTTATTCTTTGACTGTATTATATATGTTTGTATACTTTGGATCTTGATCATCTCTTCCCCCTATCCTCCCTTCCCCACATATACACACATACCACACACAAACACAACACACACTACACCTACCTACCCACACACCACACACATACATATACCACACATACTGTGCGCACACACATATGCATGCACACACACACACAAACACAACAGAGCAGTGTATCCCCTTCCCACCTTAATATGGGATCCCATTTTCAAAAATATCTTTTAAAATGAATCAAAAGTTAGGAGACTAATATTTAATTAGCTGATTCATTGCTAGCCATTCTGTGAGTGCTGTTTTGTTGTTTGTTGTGATAGGGCCCACATGGTAGGGCAGGCTGGCCTGGAGCACTAGCCATCTTCCCAGATCAGCCTCCCAAATGTAGGGATGGTAGCATGCCCGCACTGTTGTCTGAGATGGTAGCATGCCCACGCCACTGGCTGAGATGGTAGCATGCCCGCACTGTTGGCTGAGATGGTAGCAAGCCCACACCATTGGCTTTCAAGTCTTATTAACTGGATCAGGACTCAGCCCTGACGCCTGACTTCAAACTAGATTCATTTACTTCTCAAAACTTAAAAGGAAGATGTATGTTGCTGGACAATAGCACTTAATTAGTTAATTCTGCAGTGTTATGGGTTGGAACCCAGGGCCTTGTACATACTAGCCAAGCAGTCTGTCACTAATCCACGCCCCATCCCTGAGTGTAGTATTAGGTATTAAATGGTATGGTGGCACATGCCTTTAATTCCAGCAGGCGATCTCTGTGAGTTTGAGGCCAATGTGGTCTACAGAGTGAGTTCTAGGACAGCCAGGACTATATAGGGAGACTGTCTCAAAAAAACTACACACACACACACAAAACACACATACACACACATACACAGACATCCTGGTTTTTAAACATGTATCTGTGTGCATATATTCACTCCACCCAGGCTGTACACAGCTCACTTGTTTTCATTTTCTGCCACTGGGGACCTCTGCAGGCGATACCAAAAGAAAGTCGATGGCCTCAGAAAGCAAGTGGAAAAAGCCATGGGGAAGGAGATGTCTGCCCACCAATACCTGGCAAACCTGGTGGGCTTGGCAGAGAATGTCACCAAGGAACGAGACAGCCTTAAGTATTTGGTGAGTTTCCTCAATGTTATATTCTGTGAACTTAAATTTTATTGTAAATGTGACTTTAATACTATTTTTTAAGAAAATCTATAAAAATCTTCTTATTTTAGCATTTTAACCATACTTCCAAATTCTCCAAAATTTTATCTTTTAACCATGGGCAAAACTTTTTTTTTTGAGACAAGGTATTGCTGCATAGCCTAGGCTAGCCTCAAACTTGCGATCCTCCTGCTTCCCAAGTACTGAGATTATAGTTCAACCAAAATATGTTTTAAAGAAAATCAGCCAAAACTTCTAAATAACAGCAAATGTTATTCTAGAAGGTCAACTGTGGGGCCGGGTATGGTGGTGCCGTGCCTGTCACACAGCAGTGGGTGCGTCTGTGTACCCCTTTTTCCATGGCCTGAACAGTTCCTGCCAGCAGATGAATCCTGAGGGTCACAGGCGCAGGGCTGGAGGGGCAGCTCCGCAGTTGCGTGCATGCCCAGTGTGTGCAAGGCCCTGGGCTTGATTCCCAGCTCTGAGGGAGGGAGTGAGAAGCGGACTCCTGGAGTGAGATAGAGGTCCCCTACAGACGTAGTAGCAGGAAAGGGAATTAAGTCAACTATTGGTGTCCTAGATGCTGGAGCAGCGCACAGCCAGCAAGAACCTGGCACGGTTCTAGACATTCCCACACTGATTCAAAAAGATGTCTGCAGCAGATTGTGTGGTCGAAGAAGACAGCTACTCTCTCTGTCAAGCCATGTGCACTCAGAAAGTTCTCATAGATCCCCCAAGCTCCTCCCAGGGGCGGACTTCCAGGTGATGTTTTATAAGCCTTCTTACTTATTTGAATTTTCTCTTCTGTGTGTTTTGGACACATAGCACTTCCCTGCATATAAGTGTGCATGGTTTTTTTCACATCATAGTTGCCAGCATGTCATATTAATGATGTGTCTTGATGAGAGACCAAGGGGACATCATGAGTGTCAGAGAAGAGGGGTGGGGGCTATCGCAGGTGTTAGGAAGGTCCTCCCCAGGGCAGTGGGCAGAGGCTTTTGCCCTTGCTTATAGAGAAAGAAGTAGAAATAGCGGGAAGCTTGAGGGAATGTTGCTACTTATTTTTAATTAAAAAAAATGCTAATTGGGTGTGTCTTGGTATTTCTGTACTTAGTGTTACAAGGCATTGTTCATGATGTGACAGTGGCTGGCAGGGCTCCAGTAAGTCTCATTGTACACTGCTGGCCATTTGCAGGCTGTAATTGGTTATTATTGTGCAGGAGTGAGTGTCATAGCATCACTGCGCATGACAGAAGACAGCCTTGTCTTGTCTTCCGCTGGGCATGCACTGCGCCGTCTCTCAGGCCCCATTACTGGCAATGTCTAAGTCCTCCCTGACTCTGACCCAGCCTGGTAGGAACCTTGAAGCCATTCAGATCTTCTGCCTGGGGCTTTGTCTGAAAAGTCCCTGGCCACAGTGCTGAACACGCCAGTGTTTTCTGTCACAGCACCTAGCGCCCCTTCCTGCCACATGCCCACTGGGCTGTTGAGAGGGCCAGCAAACGCTTGTTGGAAGGGGCCAAGCAAAGCTGTTCACCTGGAGTACCTTCCTGAGCACCTGCCCGCCTCACAGTGCGACAGTAAATATAAAGCCATCCTATCCCCATGGCAGGACACACAGGGACCCCCACCCCTGGCAAATGAACTCACCTCCCGCGTGGGCCATGGAATGGCACAGTCTTTTATGATACAGCCGGAGACACTTTCCAACTTCAAGTAGCCACTTCAGACCCACACCTCAGCCTTACGAACCAGGTGTGGAAATATAGTGGAAGCCGCACACTCTGTATATAAAGATTTAGAAGTTGGAAATTTAGCCAACTTGATCTTGTAATGGCCTGAGAGCCAGGCCACTGAATCAGAACTGGATGTGGGCAGAGGTGCTGCCCTGCGCCTGGTTCCACCCATCAGCAGGACATCAGATACACCAAGGCCCTGTGACTGCTTGGGGAGCTGGCAGGCACCCAGACCAGGGTTACATTGGCTTCCCCACTGGTCACATCCCTCCCACACTCCAGTGTCTCTTGACCCCCCCTCCCTGCCCCTACAGTCTTTAGGAAAGGCCTCCATTGCTCTGGGCAGTGCCTGCTGATGGCCAGGGGTCACATGGAACTTGCAGTGCCCCATTTGGTTTCAGCTACTTCCATTAAACCTTTCTGAGGGAGACACAGTGGTCTGGGGAGCAGACATGGTAACTGTCGTTGGACACTTCTTCCTGTGGGCTGACACACGTCATTAGGTTTCTTTCCTTCCTCGGATGCCAGCTGCCACCACTAGATGCCTTAGGAGGGAGGCACCGCAGATGTTTCTCCTTCATTCTAGCAGCTGGGACCCTTAGTGGTGTGTGGGAGCTTGTCTCCCCATCTGGGGAGCAGTGCCAACTGCTTGGCTTCAGACGGTGTCCCTCTTGGAAATGCTGTCTGCCATGCTGGTCTGAGAAGATGTCAGGTGTTTGTGTTGTTTCTGTCACTCTCTTTTGTTTTGTTGTGATTACATGAGATCAAGTGACCCCAACACTTATTCCTTGAGTACTGCTGAAGGAACCCTGGCCAGAAGCTGCTTAGGGAAGGAAGAGTTCCTTCTGGCTTGTGGTTCCGGAGGAAGAGTCCATAACAGCAGGCATGGTAGCAGGCAGCCAGAGCAGGAAACTGGGAGGTCCCATCTCAGCCACACACAGGAAGCAGAGGATGCACTGGAGGTGGGGTGAGGCTATCAACTCTCAGGGCTCACCCACAGTGATGGACTTCCTCCAGCAAGGCTCCACCTCGTTAAGGTTCCATACTTCCCAAACAAGGACAACCACTGGGGACCATATTCAAATACCTGAGCCTATGGGAGACATAGCTCATTCAAACCACTACAGGAATGCTGTGTCCACTAGCATAGCAATGTGTTCTGAAGCCCTTAAAGGCCTGGTCTGAGGGACCCCAGCTCCTCCTTTTGTACCTAGGAGAGACGCCCAGTGTGGTCCCCATCCTTGTTGGTCCTTAGTCCTTGTCCCAGCTCTGCCCACAGCCCTCTCTCAGTTAGTAAGGGAGCCAAAAGTGGGGTAGGTGGAATTAGGTGGAGTGAGCTCGTTTGTGATTGGGGATGTTCTCTGTAGTGTGTGTGTAGGGGGAGGGGACGCTAGGGATTGGACCTGGGGCCTCACAAATGCTGGGCAGGTTGTATGCCAGTTGGCTAAGATCCAGAGCCGTTCACAGGACTTTCTGTGTAAGCTAAAGTAATGCTTCTGTTTCTACCCTCTCCGCAGGCTCAGTGTTTAGAAAGTGAGAAGCATGGAGTTCTCAACAAAATCCTGAAAGGCAACATTCGCCTGGGGAAACTAGAGGAGAGGGTGAAGGTAAGCAGCCGTCAGTGTGTGTCTCCCCATGGGAAAGGGGGCTTCAGAGGGGGTCTGTGTATCTCACACAAGAAGAAAAACTGTGCCGGACTTTGCTGGCAGACAGCTCCTTGTCTCTTCTCAGGTCAGCTGTGGTTTGCTGCATAATGAAACACCATGTAATTATTTGTTTAAAAAAAATATAGGGAAGTCTGCTGGCTCTGGTTAAGTGATATCACTACAAAAGTAATTTGTAACATGAAGGGCCGGCTTGTTGGGGTATCTGTTCCTGCCCGGTACCCCACAACTGGCAAGTCCCAGAGAAAATCAATCACACAGAGATCTCTCTATAAGTTATAAAGCTGATTGGCCCATTAGGTCAGGCTACTTATTAGCTCTTATAACTTTTGTTACCCCATTATCCTTATCTACATTAGCCACAGGGCTCAGTACCTTTCTCAGCTGGGTAGGTTACATCCTGTCTCTTCGGTGGTCTGCGCAGGAGTGGCGGAGGGAGCTTCCTGCGTCCCAGAATACTCCTAGTCTCTTTGCTCCACCCCTACTTCCTGTCTGGCTTTCCTGCCTATACTGCCTGCCTGGCCAATCAGCGTTTTATTAAAATATGATTGACAGAATACAGACAATTCTCCCACACCATTTCCCTCTTTTTTTTTTTTAAACAAAGGAAAATACCCATAGTCCATTTGTTGGGAATGTGGGCGTAGTATTTCAGGCTACTTCCTGCTGGTTGGGGGCGCTGATGATCTTATGGGGACCTAAAGAAAATTTAGAGTTATAATCAAGTCCTGACTGGAGTATCCTGTGAGTCTTGATCATCTCAGGCAGCAGTCTTGAATCTGTTCTGGATATAGAACTCAGGCATCCGGGCCATCTGTTCCTACCGGAGATTTCTCGGGTGGTCTTCCTTTTTCAAATCTGATTTTTCTTAGCTCAGAATGAATCCACAACCTCTCATTTCCTGTGGAAACAAATGCAAAATCTCTTCTCCAAAGTAGCATACCTTTTGACTTCAGTTTTGAAGCCAAGGTATTTTCAAAATACCTATCTTGGGTTAGTTCAGCAGTATTTATAAACAACAGTTCTTTAGCAGCTGTTGTTCCTTCCTCAGCACTCAAACAATTCAAAGAGAGCATAATAGCATACAGTATGAAGATTCTCTGTGTATTTTCCATCTTTATTTTAACCTCTATTTCTTTTATTTTTACTTTTACTTTTGGAGACAGGTTCTCTGTATATCGTTGTCCTGGAATAACTTTGTAGACCAGGCTGTCCGTGAACTCACAGAGATCCTTCTGTCTCTGCCTCCCCAGTGCTGGGATTAAAGATGTGTGCTACAACACCTTGAACTCACAGAAATCTGTCTGTCTCTGCTTCCCAGGCATTGGAATTGAAGGTGTGTGTTACCACACCTTGAGGTCACAGAGGTCAATCTACCTCTGCCCCCTTGAAGTCACAGAGGTCAATCTACCTCTAGCTCCTGGGCATTGGGATTAAAGGTGTGTACCACCACACCCAACTTCTCTCTTTTTACTTTAAGAACTTTAACTTTTATCCTGCATTTATTTTTAGCACACTATAAACCATTTTGAGGTTTTCTTCGTCTTTGAATCTCTCTTTACTGTATATCTCTCGTTTTCTGACCACATGAGCCTTTAATTTATAAAGCAATATGGAAAGCCGTGGCTTTGACGGCTAGATCCAGCCCATTCCTTAGCTTTCCAGCCTCATGGCAGAGGTACCGCTGGGGCCATTTTTACTGCCACAACTCTATGGCGTTTCAAGGTCCTTGCCAGCAAGCAAGCTGCAGCATTCTGCTCACAGACCACACTCAGTCAGACTGCCTGCCTGGAAGAGTCAGAGTTTGCCCTGGCAGGACAACCCAGAAAGCCAGCTTTTTAAAACAGTGCAGCTTTTTTCCTGCTACGACTGAAAACCGAAAAGCATGCGTTCAGCTTTTCATCAATACGTTTAAGTGTTTCGCGGCAGGACCTCTTAAAGGAGCTGCAAAGTTTTGCAGCTAACGCTGAGTCAGGAAGCCTCTCTTAGATGAGAGCATTTATTTGCCTCTAGCAAGCAGAGCAAACCCGAGAAATTGCTGCTACCAACAAAACATGCTTTACTCTATTCTTTCCCAAGCTTTCTCAGGCTTTCTGTGGATGCAGTTATCCACGTGGGCACCATATGTAACATGAGGGCCGGCTTGTTGGGGTATCTGTCTCACCCAGTACCCCACAGCCGGCAAACCACAAGAAAATCACACACAAGACTCCATAAGATTATAAACTGATTGGCCCATTAGGTCAGGCTTCTTATTAGTCCTTGTAACTTATATTAATCCATTATCATTATCTATGTTAGCCACACGGCTCAGTACCTTTCTCAGCGTGGCAGCTCACATGTTGCCTCTTCCGTGATCTGCACAGGAGTGGCAGAGGGAGTTTCCTGCATCCCAGAATACTCCCAGTCTCTTTGCTCCACCCCTACTTCCTGTCTGGCTTTCCCGCCTATACTGCTTGCCTGGCCAATCAGCATTTTATTAAAATATGATTGACAGAATACAGACAATTCTTCCACACCAGTTTTTTGTTGTAAAGATTTTACAAATTTTGTTGTAAAGATTTATTTATTATGTCTACAGTGTCCTGCCTGCATGTATGCCTGTACTGCAGGCCAGAAGAGGGCACCAGATCTCTTTATAGATGGTTGTGAGCCACCATGTGGTTGCAGGGAATTGAACACAGGACCTCTGGAAGATCAGCCAATGCTCTGAACCACTGAGCCATCTCTCCAGCCTAAAAATTATTATTTTTTTAAAAAAGTTTTTTTAAAATCTGAAAATGTAAAAGCTGTATACAGTTCTTTTTGTTTTGTTTTGTTTTGTTTTTCGAGACAGGGTTTCTCTGTATTATAGCCCTAGTTGTCCTGGAACTCACTTTGTAGACCAGGCTGGCCTTGAACTCACAGAGATCTGCTTAAAGGCATGTGCCATCACCACCCGGCCCCAGTTCTTTTTTTAAAGAGACTTACTTTTATTTTATGTGTATGAGTGTTTGCCTGAGTGTATGTACACCATGAGCATCCTGGTGCCTGCAGAAGTCAGAAGACAGCAGATCTCCTGAACTCTGGAGTTAGAAACGGTTGTGAGCCAAACCCAGCTCCTCAGGAAGGGCAGCCCATGCTCTTAAGTACTGAGCCATCTCTAGATGTATTTTTTTTAGTATTTTATTTTGTTGTTTTTTGTTGTTGTTGTTGTTTGTTTTATTTTGTTTTGTTTTGAGACATGGTTTCTCTGTGTAGCTGTGGCTGTCCTGGAACTCACTCTTTGGCCAGGCTGGCCTTGAACTCAAAGATCTACCTGCCTCTGCCTCCTGAGTGCTGAGATTAAAGCCATGTACCACTACCTTCTGGCTATTTTTTTAATATATTTATTCACTTTTGTTTTATGTGTATAAGTATCTTTTCTGCGTATGGGAGTGTCTGATCTCTGAAACTGGAGTTAAGAATGTCTGTTAACTACTTATGGGTGCTAGGAATTGAACTCGGGTCCTCTGCAAAGGCAGACAGAGCTTTTAACTGTTGAGCCACCTCTCCAGCCCCAAGATTTAATTTTAAAACTTTTTTTGTACAGTGTCTGTGTGTGACGCATGTGTGCCTTGGCTGCATGCAGTATGCATGGGTGGTGTAAGATAACTTTGTGGAGTTATTTTTCTCCTTCTAGCTTTATGCAGGTTTGCTGGGATCAGACTCAGGGCTTCAGGCATTGCCAGGCAGCAAGCATCCTACCCACTGCGTCACCTTGCCAGCCCCTCTGAGTACTTCTTAAACTGATGTCAGAGATTTAGATACATAACTCCCATAGCATTGGTATCCTAACGGAAGCCTGGTGGTCAGTTTTCATATTCACACTGCCTTAAGAGATGGCTGGAGGGATTGGAGAGATGGTTCAGTGGTTAGAGCCTTGAATATTACTTAAAAGGCCTAGGGGATGCTTGAGGACCTGAGTTACATGGAAGGGGAGGTGACAAGCCAACTTTTTATCCTTCTGTTGTATTTCTTACTAGGGCTTGTACCCAGAACCATTTGTATGCTAGGCAAGCACCATGCCTCTGAGCTACACCCCAGCCCTGGCTGAGCTCTTATGTGAGACATCTTTGGTAAAGCGAAACAGCATTGGTGGCCACGGACGTTCTTTCTTAATCTGACAGTTGATGAAGGATTGACCATGAAAACTGTAGGCATAGGCGCTAGGCGTGTGGCTCACGGGGTGGAGCTTCCCAGCATGCTTGAGTCCCTGAGTTTGATCCTCAGCACTACCTGAAGCTGGATTGGATGGTGCACATCTGTAATCCCAGTACAGAAGGTGGAACCAGAAGGATCCTGAGGTCATGGTCACCTTCAGCTGTATATGGAATTTGAAGCCAGCCTGGGCTACTCAAAGCCCTGCCTCAAAGACAAAACAAACAAATAAAAATTGCAGAAGTAGATTAATTTGTGAAAACATCCAATTATTTCTGTGATGCAGATATTTTATGTTTCATTTTCATTTTTAGCATATTAATTCCACAAAATCAGATATAATATAGATCAGAAATTTGGTTTTCCTTTTTAGATTTTATTTTGTTTTTAATTGTGTGTGTGTCTGTATGTGGGAGTGAGCATGTGAGTGTAGGTGCCCTTGAAAGCCAGAAGAGGGCATCAGATCCCCTGGGGCTGCAGTTGCCGGTACTTTTGAGCAGCCCACAGGGGTGCTGGGAACTGAACATGGGTCCTCTGTAAGTATGTAAGCACTCTTAACCACCAAGACATCTCTCAGGACTTTATACCTGAAATTCTTTTGTATCATTTTTATTTTGTTTTCTGGAGTCAGAGTCTCACTATGTAGCCCAGGTGACCTCAGATTCATTTCTGCCTCTGCCTCCCGAGTACTGGGATTACCCAGTTTCACACATTGCTGGGGACCAAGTCCAGAGCTTTGTGTGAATGCCAGGCAGGCACTCTACCCAAACTCCAGCTGTACATGGTCATTCAGTCCTTTTAAAATCTAGGCTTGCCTTCCAGCTCAGTGTTATCTGAGGCACATCCAGCCGGTGAACACTGACTTCCAAGAGGCAGACCGCTTGCTCACTGAATTCCTTCCCTGCAGGGGTACAAGAAACAGGCTGCGCTGAAGCTGGGGGACATCCATCACCGCCTGGTGGAACAGCAGGAGGACTTTGCTGGCAAAGCAGCTCAGTATCAGAAGGAGATGAGGCACCTGCAGCGAATGCTGCGGGAAAAGCAAGAGGTCCTGGATGAGGCGCTGCAGCAGAAACGGTAGGTTGTGAGCATGCGCACATGAACAAGCGGCAGCCAGAAGAGCACCTCGGGTGCCCTCCTCTCGCACTGTTCCTTTGAGGCAGGCTCTCTCTGGGATCCTGGTGCTTATATTTTCTCAGCTAGACTGGAAGCCAGCCAGCCCCATAGTCCACTGTCTTTTGCCACCCTGGGAGCTAGAGTTACGTGTGTGTTTTGGGTGTCTGCCTTCTTACTTGAGGCTGATATCCAAACACCAGGCCTCATGATTCCACAGCAAGTGCCCGAAATCACTGAGCCAGCTCTCTCCTGTTCTTTCTGTGTGTGGTGTGTGTGTGTGTGTGTGTGTGTGTGTGTGTGTGTGTGTATGTGTGCACTCTGTGTGTGTGTGTGGTGTGTGTGCATGTGTGTGTGTGTTTGTAGTGTTTGTTTGTTTTTAGATGCCCTGTAGCCCAGGCTGGTCTTCATTTCAGTCTTTGCAACAGCCTCCCACATGCTGGCATGGCAAGCACACACTAACAATACTGAGTTATCATTTTTTAAAAATTAAGGGGTCCATTATCTTATTCTGTTGCTGTGAGGACACATCATGACCATGGCAACACTTATAAGGGCTGACTTACAGATTCAGAAAGTTAGTCCATTATCACCATGGTGGGGAACATAGTAACATACAGACAGGCATGGTGCTTTAGAAGTAGCTGGGAGCTATGTTTGTAGGCAGAAGGCAGAGAGAGACAGGGACAGAGAGATGGGATGGGAGGCTTTAGAAATCTTAATCTACCCCTAGTGACACACCTTCTCCAACACGGCCACACCTCCTAATCCTTAGAAACAGTTGTTTAACTGAGGACCAAGCTTCAAATATGTAAGCCTATGAGGGTCATTCTTACTTAACACACCGCGTCCATCCTTATCCTTCCCCTGTCACTGAGTGTGGTGACCCGGGCCTGTTACCTTGGGAAGTGGAGGCAGGAAGATCAGGAGTTCAAAGTCATCCTTGAACATAGTATTGCTGACCTGGGCTATCTGAGACCTTGTCTCAAAAAATACTTCTCCTTTGGGGCCAGAGAGCACCAGGCACACATGTGGTGCACAGGCATACATGCAGACAAAAACACATATACATAAAGGTAAAAAAAATAACTTTTTTTTAAAAAAAAAAAACCTGTACAAAAACCACTTTTCTATCACTTTATATTCTGCAGTTTTGCTGCACGTTCAAAGTTCCTTCTCACCGTGTGGTGGTGGCACACATATTTAATCCCAGCACCTGGGAGGCAGAGGCAGACAGATCTCTGTGAGTTCGAGACCAGCCTGATCTACAAGAGCTATTTCCAGACAGGCTCCAAAGCTACAGAGAAACCATGTCTCAAAAAACCAAAAGAAAAAAAAAAGAAAAATTTCTTCTCATTTATCTACTGGGTATAAATAATACTATGTTATATGGATTCTGGGATGTTATGTTTTTCTTTAGATCTAGGAAATTTTCAATCATCATCCCTCTGGGCTATTTGTTTGTTTTGAGACAGGTTCTCATTGTGTAGCCCTGTCGGTCGTGGAACTCATTCTGTAGACCAGGCTGGCCTCGAACTCACAGAGATCCTCCTACCTCTGCCTCCTGAGTGCTGGGATAAAGGCTCACCCTGAACTTCTGAATGATCCTCAAGCCTTAGCCTTTTGAATGCTTAGATCACAGGCATGCAGCCCCACACTGCTGAGAAACACGCACGGACACACACATACACACACACACAATGGTGTGACTGTCTCATTGCTTCTCAGTATCCTTGTGGAACTCAGGTTATGTAGAGGTCAGATCCTCTTGTTGAGTCCTATACTTGGTACCTTTCAAAGTTTCCAACTATTAGCTTTTCTGGTCTACATTTTCAGTGGTTTGTTTGTCCGTCTGTCTGTTTTCTGCTCAGCTTTTCTATTTAGTTATCTCCTGGTCTTCTCAGCCCTGAGGTTTTGTTCAGCAACCATTGTGAAACTAAAACAGGAGAAATACCCCGTGCAGGCTAAGGGTTCTGTTTGCAGTTAAGACAGGTAGGAATAAGTGGCTGTTTGTCCAGTGTTTGTTTGGCCCATCAGCATCGGATATGCCTGATCACGGGTGGCTGGGAGGTGCATGAACAGGACATTTCAGGATGTGTGCCTGTCCCTGATTGGACCTGATGGGAGATGTGGTGAATTATGGGTTTTGCCTTTTTAAGCCCCTGGGAAACGTGACTCATGTCCATTTCCTGGGAACCCGGGTATGGACTTGCCCAGAGTCCATCCACCTGCCCTGTATTTAATTAAAACTTGGTTCAAATTTGGCTTTAAATTATGGTAGTGATCTTATTCTTGACTGGTGGGATTAACATTTTCTGGAGGCCCCCAGTGAGATTCAGACCACCTACCCAAGTCTAACACCAGACCTTCACTCTGAAACTCCAGGGCTGAGGGGCCACCTCAGGAGGCAGATGCTCGGACTATCAGGGTGAGCTGCTGTGCTGAGGAAAGCAGCAAGAGCCTCCGCTCAGTCATAGTCTCCTCTATTTGTAGGACCCCAGTCTGGGACGTGGAGGGGTTTCACTGCTCAGTCATAGTCTGCCCTATGTGTAGGACCCCCGTCTGGGACATGGAGGGGGTTCCATTGATCAGTCATAGTCTTCTCTATGTGTAGGACCCCAGTCTGGGATGTGGTGGGGGTTCCACTGGACTTTAATATTCTCCCATCCAGGGCAAATTGCGGGATGTCACTCACCTGTCTGGTTCTGGTTGGTTGGAAAGTTTTGTCTGTCTGTTTTCAGTGTGCGGACGGGTCTGTTTGTTCTCTCTGCTGCTGCCAGCTGCCAGCCACCACTGTGCCATGGCTGCTCAAAGCTCTCTGGTCAGTGGATCAGGGTCAGCAGGAGTTGAGATGTCTTTGGGTGTGGCTGACACTGGAGTTGTTCTATGCTGCTCTGCTTCATTGGAAGGCTGGCTGCAGAGCTGGCTGCAGAGCTGGCTGCAGAGCTGGCTGCAGAGCTGGCTACTGCTCTCCCCTCTCTAGACCCAAGCATATTTCAAAGTTTCCTCTATGTCCTGTGTTAGTTGCGCTACCTGATGCTGTGACCAGGCAAAGAAAGCAAAGCAGAACAGCCAAAAAGTTAAGTTTGGTTTATGTGGCCATTCTGTGCCTCAAGATTTGTAAGTTTATTGAGTATGACTAAAAATCTGTAATATCTGTGAAAAAAATTAACTTAAAACTCATAACATGGATGTGATAGTTAAAAATCTATGCATAGGTAATCCTTAAGGAGCCATGTGACATGACTCTTATTTTAGGAGATAAGCACCATGTGCTTTGCCACCGTCTCTAGGCAGGTGCGTGGTTGGCAGCCATCTCGGCCAGAGGTGGAGACGACATTTGTAGTTGTTATGTTGGAGCCTTGGTAAATCTGCCTCGTCAAATTTCAAGCAAGTTCTTGGTATTTGCAAATACCAATAAGTACATTTTTTATTTCTCTTTCTATTCAATTCCTAGTTTTATGTTCTACATACGCTAGTTCAGTCTTAAAAACGCGGATAAGATCTCTTTTTACACCAGGAGGTGGTGGCACACACCTTTAATCCCAGAACTTGGGAGGCAGAGGCAGGTGGATCTCTGTGAGTTTGAGGCCAGCCTGGTCTACAAGAGCTAGTTCAGAACAGGCTCCAAAAGCTACAGAGAAACCCTGTCTCAAAAAAACCAAATATATATACTTTATTTCCTTTTGGTTGTTGTTTTTAATTGACATAATTGTGTGTTTGTTCTTTGTCGTCCAGAGATGTCCCACAGCCATACCTCCAGTTTTGAATTAATGAGTAAATTAAGCGTAGAGCAAACCAAAGTAACTTAATAGTGGTAGGTAGGTAGGTGCATATGTAGATAGACAGATCTCAAATAACATGCTGCAGAAATTAGTGAGGCAGCCAGCTGGAGTCCCAGCCAGAGCAGAGTTCCCTGAGTGAGGCTTCCAAGTAAAAGAACAAACAGCAACACTAGAAACAGTATCATCAGATTGCATATTTGTACCTTCCAGTAGAAACTAGCTAGGGAAGTTGAGCTAGCTGCAGTTCATGACCTTTCTCTCTAGGGCTTGTCTTTCCCAAGGCAGGCGCTTGTGTATCATGGGGTGGACATAGCCATTAGAAATGGCTCACATTCTAGCTATTCTCAAGGACACAATGTTTATAGTTATTTTATAACCTTGGGCTCTTCCCTCCCATAGTCAAGGGCCAGCCCACCCCAGACAGGAGACTCTGGAGGACACAGTGTGGTTGGTCTGAAAGGGGAAGCAACCACCCAGAGCCAGTGTCTCCATGAGCTCTAAGAGTTCACGGCAACTGACCAGTGAAGTATGCATTACCTAGGCGTACAGACTGGTGGACGCAGGGTGATGTGTAACTCGAGTACACATGCTGTGAGCTCGGCTCAGTGTGGCCAGCGCATCTGTCACTGCACCCATTGTTGCAGGAATCGTTCTGACAGCAGTGAGGTGGAAGAGATGTCACCAGGGGACCAAAACCAGGCCAGCTCCTGAAAGTCTTGGGTCCCGGGTCCAGTCTACGTTCTCATTCTATATTCTAAAACCACAAAGTGCAGCAGACAAGCAGTATTTTACAGGAACATATGGGCAGCCAGGTTGTTAAGTTGTCTCAGCTAACTCCCCAGGTCATTCTGCTCCAGGTAGCAAGTGAAGTCATACCTGGTGACAGGCAGAATGAGCAATGCTTTACTTAAATCACTAAATAAATCAGTATCTAAGAATTGGTCTTTTCTATCTTAATTCTGCATCACTGCTGTTTCTTTGTGGTGACACCTTCAAAATCCTCACCTGGCTCTTGGACCGTAAGCGTCTGTCACTGGAGGTCCTACTGCTTCAAGGTTCATATGTGCTATTGGAATTTCTTTTCTTTTTTAAATGATGTGCGTGTGTCTGTTTGTCTGTCCATCCGTCCATCTGTCTGTGTGTGTTTACACACGTGCGTGGAGACCAGAAGTTGACATCAAGGTCTTCTGCAGTCCCTCTCCCCCGTTTTCTTCTCTAGACCCAGACCCTCCATCTGGCTAGACCTGTGGACCAGCAAGACCAAGGATTCACACTCAGGTCCTTGACTGACCGAGCCAACTCCCAGCCCCTGACTTCCTCCTCAGTTGCACTGTTTTCAACCCACCTCCTCCTTTTTTTTTCTTCTCCAGAGAAATGGAAGGTGAGCTTGAAATGGTTCTGGAGTCCACTGCCAAGGAAAACAGAAGGATGCGAGGCCTTCTCCAGGCCACCCTGGAGAGGGGCAGCCCACAGCACACCAGAGCTCGTGAAGACACTTGCTTCAGTGGCCTAGCTCAGGGAGACCTGCTGATTGGCCATGATTTCAGCTATGGTGACATGCAGCCTGCTGCTACCATTGCCCGCCAGAGTCTGGGGGAGTCTGTGGCCTAGACCTTGTCTGAGGTGAACTTCCCCCAAGCTCACAGTGGGTGGTTCCTCTCCTCAGGAGAGCCTGTGTGGCAAGGAAGTCAGAGGAAGCCACTGAGTGACATAGGGAAGAAAGAAATAAACCAGCCCGAGCATCAGATGCTTGTCCATGTTTCTTTTTGGCTTTAATTTATTTTTCTTTTTTAAAAAGTGTTAGGTATTGAACCCAGGGGTCTATACAGGCGAGGCAACAGGCTGCCACTGGGCTACATCCCAGCACTGGTTTTCTGAGTCAGGGTCTCACCGTGCAGCCCAGGCAGGCCTTAAACGTTTAATCTTCATGCCTTACTGTTATTCTTTATACAGATGTGGTGGTGGGGGACCAGTCCCACGAGGGGCAGCAGTCCCAGGAGGGGCAACGGTGGGACACCCAAGGCCTCAGCAGGGCAATGGCAGGTCCCCCAGGCCTTGGTGGGTCCCCTTGGCAGGTGGGAGACCACGGTGGGTGAGAGGCAGACAGATATTCCATGCAGAGAGAGAGTTTGGGTATAGAGTTTATTTAGTGGGTTATGGAAGGGAAAGGGAAGTGGAAAAGGGGAAGAAAAGAGGGGGGAGAAGAGAGGAGAGAGAAAGGCAGTAGTTACCACTTCAGAAGAGGGACTAGAGAGAAGTGGGGGAGGTTGGGAGTGGGTGGAGCTTGTCTCTTAAAGGAGCAGGGTACCCAGGTGACAGGGAAGGTCAGCAAAATAATAACACCCTCCTCAGGGCTGGGATTACAGAAATGCCCTGTCACACACCTCTCTACATTGATGTGAGATATCTTCCTGTATGCTGTGAATATGTGTTGTTCTCACTGGTTGATAAGTAAAGCTTAATTGGCCTATAGCCAGGCAGAATATAGCTAGGCAGGAAAGCCAGCTGGAGGTACAGGGAAAAGGAGCTCTGGGTTGAGGGGATGCCAGCAGCAGGAGAAGCAAGATGCCAGCAAACCAGTAACAGCCACATGGCAATACATAGATTAATAGAAATGGGTTAATTTAAATATAAGAGCGAGCTAGTAATAAGCCATTGCCATTGTCATGGGCCAAGCATTGAGTAATATTAGCCTCTGAGTATTTATTCAGGAACTGGTGGGCGGGAGAGAAGCCTACAATTACACCACATTGCTCTTAATGATGTGCTTGCTGCATTTTCAGTGAGATCACAGCCTCTGGTCACACTGCTCCGGAGGCTGGCTCAGATGCTCCTAGCTGGGCCACTAAGAAATCAAGTGAAAGTCATGGGGCAGGTCAGGTTCCAGGAAATAGAAACTCAGTTCTTACAGTAAATGGAAACTTATTTTTAACAATACAGTAGCCTCTGCCTTCAAAATGGAGTCAGGCAGGTTCCTCATTGTCAAGTGACAGTGAGAAGGATTTGAGACCTGTTGAGGCTTGGCTCTATTCAGTAAATTCTTGAAGGTGGCTGGGTGGTGGTGGCGCACACCTTTAATCCCAGCACTCCGGAGGCAGAGGCAGGTGGATCTCTGTGAGTTCGAGCCTGGTCTACAAGAGCTAGTTCCTGTACAGGCTCCAAAGCCACAGAGAAACCCTGTCTCAAAAAACAAAAAAACAAACAAAAAAATTCTTGAAGGTGCTTTTTTTATGCCCAGACCACGGTGTCTCCCCAAACCACCTGAGTTCACACTCATATGCAAAAGCAAAGAGGCTTTATTCAAGTTAAAGCTTGGATTCTCCATCTGTCCAACACAGTGGTGAGAGCGGAGAGACTGAGCTCAGTTGGGGGGTTATCATAGTAGGCATTGGGGTGAGGGGTTTCCAAGGTTCAGGACCCCTGATTGGCTGACATTTGCCTAGGGGTGTCTTTGTGTAAGGAAATAGGTGTGCGTGTTTGTGTGTGTGTGTGTGTGTGTGTGTGTGTGTGTGTGTGTGTGTGTGTGCTGGGCTCAGGGACATCTGGTGATCTTATCTAATCTTATCTAATGGTTGGAATGTTTTGAATGCCAGGTAATTCTCCTTAGATGCTGGCCCATCCCTGGGTGGTGTCAATTTATGACTTTTCCTGGATCTGGGGCTGCCTGATAGTCAACTGAAACTCGTGCCTACTTTTTAGCTGGTTTTTAGTAAGGTGGCAGTGTGACCACGCTTTTGCTGTTTGGATGGTCTGTATTCATGGTTTCATGTAGTCAAGGCATGGCACCCCAGGGTGGCTGTATTGGGAGGCCTTCAAGAAATCCTTAAGGTCAATTTTGTAATGGTTTTCTGTGTCTTTAAGAGACAAGCCACGCCCACCCCCTCCCCCATCCGCTGAGGCAGGTTGATCTTCAGCTTCTGGCCTGAGCTAACTCTCTTTTCTCTCTTCCTCTCTCCACACTTCTCCGCTTCCCCCTTCTCTCTCTTTCTTTCTTTCTTTCTTTCTTTCTTTCTTTCTTTCTTTCTTTCTTTCTTTCTTTCTGTCCCCTCTCTCTCTTTCTCTCCCTACCCCCCTTCTCCCTTTCCCCTTCATAACCCCCTGAATAAATATTTCAATCTCACTCTTCATGTCGTGTCTATCCATGTCTCTGTCTCCTGCCCACCCACCATTGCTTGGGGACCGGCAGCCGTCTCTGCCTGGGACTGGCTGCTCCCAGAGCCCACTCTCTGCCTCCACATGGCCTGCTACCATCATTTGGGACCTACAGCATTTCTGCTGCCTACTGCTGCCAGGGATCTTGCAGCATTTTTTAAAAAAATCATAAATTTAACTTGATTGGTTATGGTGAGGGTGAAATTACCTGACACAAGTGAGAAGGAAGCATGAAACACATAACAAACCCACTTAGGAGTTTATTAGAGGGAGCATGTATAGGCCTGGGGAAGTCAGTGTGCAGAGAAAGAGAGAGAAAGATGGCGTGTCCAGCTTTTAAAAGCTGCCTAGCGCATGCGCACAGGGGGTTGACATGATTATGCCATATGCAGATGACGAGGTTCCTGCAAGTGCTTAGCTGAGTCATAAGTGGACGATGTAATCCACACTGCTCATGGGTCACACTGGGCCCTTTAATATCCCTTGGGGTCATTAGGCCCTTCTGCTTAAGGGCTTGTCTGCACACACATGGCCCCTAGAACCCAAAAGTATCAGCCTTATTGTGGCTGAAATCATTACAGAGGAGAAAAACAGAACTGAAGAGTAAAGTAGTTAAAATTACACCAGGCATAGCTGAGGCATGTGGTTAGTAGCTGTCATTAGCCATGTGGTTGGTGACTTCTTCCCAGTGATTTCTTGAAGAGTTAAATTGGCTTTAGTGTAATGGATTAAGTAAAAATGCTGCAGGTCCCCAAGCGTCAGCAGTGGGCATTGGGTCCTGAGAGCAGCCAGTCCCAGACAGGGACGGTGCAGTTCCCCAAGTGTCTGCAGTGGGCCATGAGGGGCAGCGAGTCCCACTAGGAGAGACAGACAGATGGGTAAACCACAAGACCATGCCGCAAGTCTCCAAAGGCAGCTGGTCCTGGGCAGGGAGCCATATAGCAGGCGAGAGACAGAGACATGGACAGGCACACCATGCAGAGTGAGGTTAGATATTTATTTAGTGGGTTATAGAAAGGAAAGAGGAGAAGAGTAGGGGGGAGCAGAGAGGGGAAAGGGGAGAAGTGGGGAGAAGGGAGAGACAGGACAGAAGCTGCCTCTTTGAGAGGGAGATAGAAAGAGGAAGGGACTCAGGCTGGAAACTGAAGATCAGCTTGCCTTGGTGGTTGGGGGTAGGAGTGGGCATGGCTTGCTCTTAAAGGGACAGAGCAGACCATTACATTCCCATCTCTTTTACAATAAAAAATGTGGGAGTTTAGGCCCAACAGGTTAAAGGAATTGGGGCAGCAGATTCTCAAGACTGCTTTCTGCTTATTTGTGGGCATCGTCTGTGGGCGGGGGGTACCTGAGAAAGTTGGGCCACATCCTGGCATAGCTGGCCTGTTTTTTCCTGTCCAGTCTTTGTGGTATGAAAATGTCTGGTGTCTTTTATACCTGTTTAAGGTATTGGCAGAACAGAGGACAAAGTTAAGTTTAGGGAAAAAAAAAATTAGGACTAGGGAATTGAGGGGGATGTATCTGACCTGTTTAAGGTGAATCCTTCAATTTGGCTCCCTGGAACTCACAAGAATTCTTTGGGTTTGTGAAAACAGAAGTTTTAGACATATGCATTGTATAAACAGTAGCATATTTATATCAGAATAATTGTGACAGATATTTTTGCACAATGAAAAGTATTTTTAAGACTATGGAAGGCAGTGTGAGAGAGAAATTTGTCAACTTGTATTTATCCTCACACCTTTATAACTTACAGGGCTTGTATTTATATTTCTATTTTACTGAAACTTGTTTGATGAGGTTGTCCTTTTAAACTGACCAAACCTCTCAGCTGTCAAACTGCACCAGATATCTTTGAGAAGGATGAAATTTTACTTGAGTTACTGATTAAAAAACAACAGAGAACTTACTTGGTTGGCACCTAGAGCTACTCCTCAGGGTCCTCCGTGGTTGCTGAAGGTCGTATTTGCCTTTTGCTCTTTAGCGCAGGGCCTAACAGGCTCCAGAAGAGCCTGTGGGCTAAGAAATCTGTAGGAAGATAGGCCTTCCTTGACCTGAGCAGCTAAACTGTCGATTCCAGTGATTCTGTCCACGTCTGGAGATCTTCAGTTTGGATGAAAGGCAGTTTTTCCCAGTGGTCAGCACTCGGCAGTTGAAGTGAACTGCAGATGGACGTTGTTCTGTGTCCATTTGTCTTCTGTCTTCTTGGGAGGAAACAGAGTGCTGCTAGGAGCCAACCTGTCTCTTTTTGTTATGAAAAGTTTTTTAATAATTAAATATTTAAATGCCATATTCCCAAGATCTCTGAGCAGTTGAGGGCTGTTTATCAAGTATAACTACAGTACAGAATCTGCCTGGAGAGCTGGGTCCAAGCTTGACTGTACTGGCTCTCAACTTAGCAGGTAAGATTTACACTCATAAAAAGACAGGAAGAAGAAAAAACTTTCAATAGAAGGTTAACAGCAGAGCTGACAATAGTAGAGAACAGCTTAATATATTTTAAATCAAGGTTGGATTAAATATATTGTTGTAAGAGACTTAAAAGTACATACCAATTTAAAACATGAGACTGTTTTGTAGTCTGAAATGAGATACA